AAATGAATCACATGAACAGTGAGCAATCGATTCTTTGAATAAATTCTTTTGATACCAAAAGTAAGAATCAGACTCGGAATCAATTACTAAAAAATGAATCAAACATCACTATTAATAAACTCCATAAAGCTTCATAAACAGAGTTTTCAAATAAAGTCTATTGGTTCCAGAACTGGGAATCAGAAACAGATTTGGAATCAGAATTATTTTAAAAAAGGTTTGAAAAAAGTCTCTAGTTATTACTTCATTAAGCTTCATGAAATAAATCACAAAAACTGGAATTCCAGAACTAGAAATCAGAATCTAAATCAATTACAACAAAATGTTGAATCAAACAGCACTACTGATAATTCCATATAGCCTCCTAAAAGGAGTCACAACAACAGAGAAATTGACTCTTTGAATAAATTCTATTGATTCCAAAACTAGAATCTGAATCAGAATCAATTACAAATGAAAAATGAATCAAACATCAATACTGATAACTCCAAAAAAGCTTCATGAACAGAATCTTTGAATCAAGTCTATTGATTCTAGAACTAGAATTCCAAAAAAGTTTGAATCAAACAGCCATACTGATAACTTCATTAAGCCTTATAAAAGAATCATATCAACAGTGAGGAATCGATTCTTTGGATCAATTCCATTGATTCCATAACTAGGAATCAGAATCAATTTCAAAGAAGTTTGAATCAAACAGCATTGCCGATAACTCATTATAGCCTCGTAAAAAGAATCACAACAACAGTGAGCAATTGAATCTTTGAATAGATTCTATTGACTCAAAAACTAATTACAAAAAGTTTGAATCAAACAGTGATATCTCCTTAATGATTCAAAAAAGGAATCACAAGAACTATAAATCAGAAACAGATTCAGAATCAGAATCAATTCCAAAAAAAGGTTTCATTCAAAAAGCACTACTTATTAATTAATAAAGCATCATAAATTTGATCACAAAAACCCGAATTCCAGAACTAGGAATCAGAATCTAAATTAACTTTAAACATTTTTAATCAAACAGCACTAGTGATAACTATATTAAGCTTCATAAAATAAAGAATAAGAACTAGATTCCAGAATTACGAATCAGAATCAATTACAAAGAAGTTTGAATCAAACAGCAAGAGTCACATCAACAGTGAACAATCTAGTCTTTGAATAAATTATATTAACTCCAAAACTAAGGATCAAAACTGGAACTCCAAAAAGATTTTTTTTTTTAAATCACAAGAACTAAGAATCAGAAACAGATTCAGAATCAAAATCAATTCCAAAGAGTCTGAATCAAACAGCCCTACTGATAACTCCTTAAAGATTAAAAAAAAAGATTCATGAGAACTAGGAATCAGAAACAGAATCAGAATCAATTACAAAAAAAGTTTGAATCAAACAGCACTAGTAATAACTCTTTACTTAGCCTTATAAAAGAATGACAGCAACAGTAAGGAATTAATTCTTTGACTCAATTGAACTGATTTCAGATCTAAGATTCAGAATTGAAATCGAAAACGCAATCAATTCCAAAGAAATATTGAATCAAACAGCATTACTGATATCTCTATAAAGCTTCATAGTTTGAGCAGTAAATCTGAATCTCCAAGTTGACTCTTCTGAATCTTCTCCCCCTTCAGCTGAAAACTCCTAATATTAAAGACGCAGGAGTGAAAATCAGACTGAATAAACCCTGCCGTTCAGCTGTCTTGTTTCCACTGTGTGGCCTAATTCTGCTCTGCTTTCTTCCACAGATCCTCCATTCCTCTTTTCTTGACAATGGCAGGCCACCAAACTCCTCGATGAATGTAAAAGAGCAGAGAGTTTTCCATTTCAAAGCTGGATGTGGGATGCTGTCGCTTTCACTAATTCATAACACTTCCACTCTGGAGGACTGAACCAGCTCTTCTGCTTCATTATTATTACGCTTTTATGCCTCTGATAAAGACCAGCAAACTCATAAGACATCAGGGTTTTGTTATTATAATAATATTTTTATTATTATTAGTACTATTATTATAGCAATAATAACAATAATGATAATAATAATAATAATAATAGCAATAAATACTACTACTACTACTACTAATAATAATAATAGTAATAGTAATATTATTAGCAAAAATATTATTATTGTTATGATTATTCATATTCATATTAATAGTAATAGTAATAATAAAGAGCAATAATAATAATAATAATAATGAATAGCAATAAAGATAAAAAGAATATTAATAGTATTATCATTATTGTTAATTTAATAATATAAATATTCATAATATTATTATTAATAATAATAATAATAATAAAAATAATGCTATCATTATTATTGTTATTATTATTTCTTGATATTCTTCTTCTTCTTCTTCTTCTTCTTCTTATTATTATTATTATTGCAAATTTTATTAATAATAATAATAATAATAATAATAATAATAATAATAATAATAATAATACCATTAATATCATAATCATTATTATTATTATTAACAATAAAAATTATATCAATAATAATAGTAACAATAATACTAGCAATAATAAAATAATAGCAATAATAATAATAATAATAATAATAATAATAATAATAATAATAATGATGTATTCAAAAGTTAATTAAAAACATAATATATTATGAAACATTAAGCATGAATGAGTATGAATAAAATCAAAACCTTTATCAATATCATATTAACATTTTATATTTTCAGAACTTATGGCTTAAAAACCTAAATATATATTTAAAAGTAAAAATAATAATACTTATAATGATGTAAATATTCGTTAGAAAGCTAGAAAAAAACAATAACCAAAAATATAAAAATGCAATATGTATTTTAATAAAAAATAAATAATATTTATTTAGCATGATTTATTTCAGCAATTATGTCAATAATAATTTTAGTAGTTTAAGTAAAGTAATTTTCTATAGTTGATTTGTTTAACGGCGTTGATAATATTTACTTACATGTTTTAAACTAATATATAATATAATAAAATATATAACTAGTATAATATATTTTAAAACTATTTAGCATGTAATAAAACACTAAATATCCATAAAAACGCGTCTATAAATATCAATATTAAGTCTTAGTATAAACTTTATTTACCAAAACATGCACAGAAATAAAACAAAGCAAAATAAAAATACAGAATCAGATTTTTTTTTAAATGAAAAAAAAAAAAAAAATATATATATATATATATATATATATATATATATATATATATATATATATATATATATATATATATATATATATATATATATATATATATATATATATATATATATATATATATATATATATATATATATATATATATATATATATATATATATATATATATATATATATATATATATATATATATATATATATATATATATATATATATATATATATATATATATATATATATATATATATATATATATATATATATATATATATATATATATATATATAAATATATATATATATATATATATATATATATATATATATATATATATATATATATATATATTTATATATATATATATA